TATTATTATTATTATTATTATTAATATTAATATTATTACTATTATTACTATTATACCAAGAAAATAGTTACAAGATGCTAGGAATGACGGATCAAAAATGGAATGTGATAACGACAAAACAAAAAGAAATGGGAAAACAACGAGCACAAAGAAGGAAACAACTACTAGATGCAATGTATGCAGTATATGTGGTTATGATCGGAGAAAAGAATCGGAAAAAAATAATAAAATGAAGTAGGCAGGTTGTGTCATCTCCTATTTCGAGGGAAAGATCAAAGAAAAAGGAAGAAAAATATTAACAGGTACTTATACGCACGTCTCTTCTATAAACATAACAACATGCAATCATTTCGTTAACGATTCCTATCCTACATGTATATAGTTGCGCGATCGATCTTCTTTCTATTTTTCTCCTATAGTCTAAATTATTATAGTAAAAATCTATGGCAAGAAGAAATGAAGTTTAAAATAATAATAGGAAATGTAAAATAAAAAGAAGAAAAAGAAAAAAAACTGATGATTTTGGGATTTTGGCAGTGAAATAGACAATTATTCTATTGTACTTTGTTGTTACAATTTTGAAGAAAAAACAATTAAATATGACGTAATCACTCGCACGTCTTTCTTTTAATTCGAACGAAGAACACGATCGTGCGCAAATTTGAAACGTTTCAAATATTATTGCGAGACGTGCGCAAGATAAACGATGAAGAAAAAAAACAATAATTAATATTTCTAGAATAAGAACTTACATCTACATAACATTGGACGGAATGTCCATATCTTAAACAGCTGATAGAAATATTTTTAGCAAAATATATGAATTTATGTATATTATTATTATATATATTCATTAATATAGTAAGATGGCGAGACGTTATTTGTGAATAACACGTCTCGTATGTACACCCTTCTTTTAAAATACGCTCTTAAGCGCGTTGTCTCGAAATCATTTCATCAACGTAGAAAACTAATTTGTATCAATCGTTTTATATATGCGAGTTTATACTCCCGAGACTTCGTAGTATTAATCGTAATCGCGAGGAATTAAAATCCTACATAAGATCTAATAAACGAAGAAAAATAAAACGATCTTAATTGCGTGCTGCCAGTGATAGTTTTATAAATTGACATTAAAATAATTGTTCTCAAAGTAAACTACATAAGTACTACTGCTTATCACATTCTCGAATAAATTTTTTGTTTGGAATCGTTCGAAAGTGTATTCGAAAGTACATTCGACCTATTTAGGAGGGAAAAGGTGTATATTATGTATCATTGATAAAAAGAATATAATACGTATGTATAATTACGTACGTAAAAATAAAGGAATACATAGAAGATTTGATTGAAAAAGATATGAAAGAATGAAAAAGTCTCTGTTCGTCAAAAGAAAATAATTGGAATGGCAAATAGATAGCAAGTAGATGGAATGACAATAAGTATAAGGGAAACCGAATGGACTTGTATCACATTTAGGGATAAAATTGAGCGGTATAGGGCAAGGCAGGAGCAGCGGTAGGGGCATGGGCATGAAAAGCTGGCGCTTGTGGGTGCCAGGCAGCACGCTTAGCGTGTACCGTAGCAGGTGTATCACTGGGAAAGGCATTTTCCCAGGTTCTTTTCAGGCCCATCAATGCAGCTGGATTAATAGGAGCGGTTTGCGCGACGATGGGTGCAAAAATCCCATGAGAGGTCGGTGCCCTTATTATACGAGGGGGGAAGAGGAATAAGGGCGCGGGAGTTGGTTGTTGAGCATGAAGCGCAGCCACAGCCGCGGCCGCTGCCTGAGGTGTCATCGCGTACGCAGGGATTTGATGAGGTGGATTGGGCGCGGTAAGGGCCAAGGTCTTACTAGTCGCCGAGGAGGTAGGCGAGGCTGGAGTCGTCGAGGTGGGGGATGCGTTAGATGCCAAGGCCATCAGCCAAAAGTCCTGAGTCCTGATGGCCTGGGCCTGCGCCTGCGCCTGAGCATGAGCTTGAACTTGCGCTGCCTGTGCTTGGGCCTGTGCCTGTACGAGCGCCTGTATGTCCCAGAGGGGAGGCTGCGCCGTCGGTACCGGCATCGGTACCGGCGTCGCCGGACCCGAATGTGTCAGAGATGCGGGTGATTGAGTGCTCAACGTACCGGGTGATAGTAGAGCCTTCGTTGACGGCGGAGCACTTGTCAATACCAGATTCATATCTTCCCCGCTACACTGGAAGACTTCGATGTAACGTTGTTTCTTTCCGAATACCATGAATCGGTGGTGCCGCTGAGTCGCGCACGCATGCGCCGAACTTTCACTGTCCATTTGTATGAACGCTTCTCCGGACGGTTGACCCTAATGACATCATATATCTTTTATTTTTTCTTCTCTTCAATCTCTCACTCCCTTCTTTCATCCGTTATCTTATTTTATTCTTACCTGTGCATTGTACACCATATGAACACCTTGGTAGATAATGTTTTTCGAGTGTTCTCCCATGAATTCTAATATATGCTCTACAAGTGCCTCGTAGGGGAGCCCACGTAGCCTCACGCAATCCTTACGCGTGCCGGATGTAATTATATGTTGAGGAAGTAATGGAGGAAATTGCAGTGGTTGTATTGATGGTACTTGAAGAACGAACGGCTTTGGATCGGTTGCCCTATTCAGGACCTATAGGTAACAAATATTGTTTGACATGGAATAAAAATAAATTTCGTTTGGCTAACGATTCATTTAATTTCTTTAGCTTTTACGAACCTGTTGTACTTCCGCCGTTGTACTCCTAAATAGTTCAATATACCTACTGCCAATGCAGTCTCTGTGCTTACTCAATGCTTTCACAGCATCTTCCTCTTGAGCGAAAAGGACGAACGCGTCTCCGGTCGCTCGACCATCTGGCTTTTTTACAAATAGTACGCCATCTTCTCCATCCAATACGTGACAAGATTTTTGTCCCGATAAGAAAAAGTCAATCTTTAGAAGCAAAATGTATAGTTCAATTAATTACCATTGCGTAACCTATTTATTAAATATAATATAATTTAGTGCATACCACTTGCTTAGCAACGCAGTCATAAGGTAATCCTCTCATTCTAACGATAACTTGAGCCCCTCTTGAAAGGAAAGCATGCGCTTCACTAGTAGTACCACCAGCAACCCCAACAAAATCTTCTCCGGAAGCTTTATAAACTTCTATGTACCGTGTCCCCATATGATGTTTATGCCTTTTCAGTGCCATATCTCTGTGTTCTTTATTAACAAAACGTACTAAAGCTTCTCCGTTACGCCTGCCCATATGACTCAAACAAAGTGCTACGCCACCCCTAAAAATAAAGAATACCTAATAATTGTTTTTCTTTCTAAAAGTCTTTAGTTATTACTTAAACTTAAAAGCTTGTACTTTGACGCATAACATTAATTATACTTATTTATACGATAAGTGATGATCTGTTAGATTACAAGACACAAATCTATATGACCCACAGATAATGCTTATCATAGTGCTTGACCATGCTGATTAGGAAAAGAAATCATTGAGAAAAGATGCATGATATAAACGGTAGCCACATAAATGAACGATTTATAATTCATACAAAAATAAAATCGCACAAGGCCTGACCCATTACCTTCTTTATGTGATTCCAAGTGGCTTGTATAACAATATTCAAGTAGTTAGTAAATAATACATTTATATTATTGTCTATTATCTCTAACAAGTATTTATAATCCAAACAGTATCGAGATACTACTTACTTTGCCACATTCAGACCGCGGAAAAATTTGGCAATATCTTGATCCGATGATTGCCAAGGAAGACCTCTAGCTCTAACTACGCAGTCATTGTCTACTTCTTCGTCCTTGGAACTAGAAGTAACCAAATTATCATGATTATTATAATTATATTCTAACAACAGTTTTAAGCGAGCATAACCTACCGATATGACTTTTAACTACTTACCATATTCCTGGTTCTAAAACTATATTTACTACCTCTGGTGTTTGGAAGACGTGACCTGAAAAGAGAAAAAATAAAAAGAATTAATCATCTGTGAATTATAAAGAAATTCTTTAGATAACTCTTATATTTAGTTTTATCTTCAAATGGCTATGAAAATAATTATAATAATAAACATAATAGACTCCACGTAGAAATTCCAAGTAACCTCGAGGTAGTGCTTCCATCGAGGAAATATATGTCTTGCGTTGCAAAAATACATTACTTTCCGATAATTTTTTCTCAAAAGACATAATTTCTTCGAAATCATTGAAAGCGTTTCTCTCGTTGAATCAACAGGTTGCTGCCGAACGCGACACCGCTGACTTGGCGAAAAACGTTAACAATTTCTTCATTTCTACGTTACTTCTTCCTTTATATTGTATATACATAAATCACGTGCGATACAGACTTTTACTTTTAAACAAAACTACTACTGTAAAGTTCGAACGTATTTAAATATCCTTCTTTTCTTCCGCGGTCCAATTAAGTTCTTCTTTTTGCTTGTGGATTATGCTTAAGGAAAGAGATAGATAGATAGAGAAAGAGAGAGAGAGAGAGAGAGAGAGAGAGATATGAAGAAAAAAAGAAGCGTGCACGAGGAGAAATTTGGACGTAACTGGAACAGATCGGCGCATGCGCCGACTGCGATATCTTGCTTCATTTTAAAATGGTGTCGAGAACATCGAAACATTTAATAAAGTTAATGTAAACAATTATTTAATTTGCTGTTCGAGTCACGTATTAACGATGAAATGCAAATGATTTAACCTTTTTTCTTTTTTATGAAATATATAAATCGATACCTAATGAACATTAATTATCAAAAGAAAATATTATATTGAACACCATATTGCTTTTTTCTTCGTGTTTTCTAATTCGTAATAGAGAAAAAAACTTTATCGAATCGAACGTGATTTTTTGTAACTTCCTATTTCATAATTCAAAAAAAGGAAAAAAAGGCATTTGTCTTGCAAGCTTTCTGGCGCTTCCTTCATCGTAATACTATATGCTTCGCTTTGTCTCTTATTTCTCGTACTTGGGGACAAAGTGCTTATTCGATTTGTTGCTTCGGCGAAACTATTTCGTATTTCTTGCAAGGAATATTTGTGTTATGCGAAATGAATCGACTGATTTCAAACGCGTACACCTTTATAAATTGCCACGACTGCTCTCTTATTGAATTTCATATATGTATATTATGTATACAAGTACATAATATATACGTTACTGTAGTATGTATTGTATGTATCGGCAATTCGGTAAACAACTTTTTCCTTAAGTAGATAAGAGAAAAGAATATTTTTTCTAATGATATATTGAAAATGTCAATTTCAATAGAGAGAAATATCAATTTTTCATTTTCTCTTTTCTTTTTATCTTCATTCTATGCTCATCAAATAATATACATAGATATACGATTACGCATACGATTCGTTCGTATTTACGACAATACATACTAATTTGTTTTTGCAATTTAAATCCTTAAGTTGTATTAATAAAAATATGAAAAACGTATTGTTGCTAGTTGGGTATCACTGCGCGATAAGAAATACATAGCATGGCCATCGTATACTTGCACATCGTATCTAAATCGCTGCGAAACTCAGCAGCACATACATATCGTATATACGTGTGCTACGTACAAACGAACAATGCGACCGTATACTCATCTTTAAACATTTATACACCCCTACCCTGGACATTATTAAAACATATCAATATGTTTTTTTCCTATTTAGATTTGGAACATAGCATGAAATTACGTAGACATAGAAAATGATTCAGTTGAAAATTTGTATCTATGACTATTAATAAAGGTTGGCAACTAACTGATTGCAGATTTTTTCGATAAACAAATCATATTCAATTCAGTTTTTTGATAGCAAAGATTACAAATTTTATAAACGTGGAATTATGACACTGCCTGAACGATGACAAAAAGTCATCGACAAAAATGGACAATACCTAATTGAATAAAGTTATATTTTTCAGCGAAAATTTTGAATTTTCCTTCTTATTTAAAATCCGCAATCACTTAATTGCCAACCCAATATATATATATATATATATACAATAATTAAGCAATACTATATATATAATTATAGTCGAATGGATATTGGATTTTTGGAAGAGCTTTTATCGCTTTAGCGTTAATCTTAAATATGTCTGTTATGGTCAAGGTTCGCTTGTATTGTTTACAGATACGTATGGAAAGAAAATCGGTCGAGTATGCGGGTTATGATAGACAATTCGAAAAAGTCTACGCGAAATATCGTAGAAGAGAAAAGTGAAGAAAGAAGATAATTCTACATGACCGTTAGACTAGATCAAAGTCAAAGAAATACATCAACCGAGATAAAGAAGAGACTTTCTACGTAATTTTGAATAAGTTCTCATCTAGAAAGTTTTAATCAAGCTTGGAAAAATGTCTTTCTTACCATCTTTGATCATCCTTTGTATCACGCTAATCATATCTTGTATTTCTTTTACGTGAAAATCGTTGTCCGTATCAGGTTGTAACCCAAAGTCTAATTATCTATTGTCAAGGATAAATAAATATACTTCGAAGACTTTACCAAGTGCATGAAATTATTTTGTCTAATAATCACGATAAAACGAACGATTTTATTTATCGATCGACATAGTACGGAACGTATGCATACAATCCTTATATCGCCCTTAAAAAATAAGACTAATTCAATTGTGTTCTGAAAGTTTGTCGGGGTCCTCGGAAGTGGAGAACGATCGCAAAAATAAATTGTTAAACGTTATTGAAAGAAAAGTAAATCGTAAGAAGAAACGCTTTTGTGCGCATAATAATATATCTCGATCGGTCGTCAAGTCGTTACCAATATCTTCACCGGGCTGACCTTTAAACCGTGTTCCGCAGGCGATAAGGCCGGTTGGTCAGCTGAAGCTTTCTCGAGGCGCTTGCCTTCTAAACGCGAACGTTCGATTCAACTTGTCCTCCCTCCCTCTTTTCTTCTCTCCTTTTTTTCATCCTACTACGTAATCACTTTTCGACGAAACTAGTTTTCGTTATTTATGAAAAGCTAATTCTCTGCTATAATATATTTCAAAAGAACGTACATATTTAAGCTGTCATCCTCTTTTCTCTCTCCCCTCCCCTCCCCCCCTTCTCTCTCTCTCCCTCTCAATAAAAACATGTCGTAAATTATTGGCCAATTCAAAGGAAGACGTAACACCGCGTATCCATGAGACTTCTCTTTTTACAAATATCACTTTAAAATTAGGTAATGACTTTAACGAAAAAAAAAAAAAAAGAAAGAAGAAAGATTTGACGAAATTCTCTTATCGTTACCTTCGTTGGTAACGAGCCCAATTGTGCATTCGCGTTCGTTCGGAGATTTTATCTTACTGATAAAAATCAAAAGTAAGATTCGTTGTCTTTCTCTCTCTCTCTTTCTCTATCAAAGTCATAAGATATAAAACGCGTGTAATCAGTTCGTGATCAGCTAAGTTTTTTATTAAAAATTAGAAGAAAAGAATGAAAACAATCTGGCAAACAAACAAAAATGACAAATCCGTTTTGCTCGAGGCGCCGATCGACACGAGAATATACACGAGTATGCCGATCGATATATACGTGTACACACCCACATATCATATATATGTGTTGTCAGTCGCCACAGGTGGTTTTGTTTTATTAGCGTTCAGTTGATACAACACGACACGGTGGATGCAGAGTGAGTGAGAGAGAGAGAGAGAGAGAGAGAGAGAAGGCAAGCACATAAGGTGGTAAGCCATTGTGGCCAGCTCAAGTTGATGCCGAGGAAGGATCGAGATTAAGACTCGAGGAACTCGAGTGAATGCTTTTCTCTCTCTCTTTCTTTTTCTCTCTCTCTTGCGTTCACTCGTTTTAACTATATATGTATATATATATATATATATATATATATATATATAT